AATATCATCTACCACTGAAAAAGGTACAATTAGCTAGAATATTCTGTGATTTAAGCTGTAAAAGGGGCCATCACCGTTAAGAGTCAGGTAATCACAGCGTGAATCTAGTCTAGTCTGGCACATGTAATGTTTAACTAGCCCTAAATAAATTACCCAATCAGCAGCATGTAATTACTTTGCGATGTCTACTTTGGTTAAATAATCAGACCAGATCAGGTCAGATTTTACCCATAATGGATGCTCTTCTGGGTGCTTGTAGATGTCTCTTAAAGCGTATTAAGTGGCAGAGGTTAACTCCCTTTCAAACTCTTGCAGAAATGTTAATATTTTGGTAGATTTTTTGATGCCAGGGCTATAGGGATGTTTTTATGTTGGGATGGGGTGTTTTTTTAATTTAGGGCTAGACATGACCTATACTGTATGTGCAAAGGATCCCAAAATGCCCTTGGCTTTCGATATGGATATGTTCAATTTGCATTCGCTATCTGATGGTGAAAAACCTTGCAAGTGGATCAAAATTTAGAATAGCTAAAAGGCCTGCGAGGTTCAGAAAGTCAGACTCGTCCTTTCTCCACAAAGCAATTTTTGTGTTTGAACCTTTTCTCTTTCGGGTCGTGACCTCTCTCTTCTATTTCACTATCACAGCGTATTTATCAAGTTGCCATTAAGAACTTTCTGTTCCTATTTGCCCATCATTCCTAGGCTTGGATTTACCTTACTTTCACACTCTCATTTTCAGCCATCTACTGCTTGTGGATCCTGAATAAAAGAAAGGCTCGGGTCAATCAAAGGCCATTTTTTGCATGGTGATGCTCCGGAAATGATAAAGGATATTGGAAAAAATACGACTAAAAGCGGGCTTTCATCTAAGGGTCATGGCAATTTAGCTTCTTTTTGTGACGCTGGTCAGATTTGGAATGGTTTAGCTGCAATCCCCTTTCTTTTCCTGGCAATGGTATGATGAATGCAAATTAAATATTGATTTCGTTAAACGATTTAGACGCTTACAAATTTCCAATAAACCCCCTTTTTCAGGCAAAAACCCCACAACAGCAATCAGTATTGAACGAATAAAGACATATTTTGGTAACCCTAACCCTGAATTTAGACTTTCGGGTTTGAGGGAGATCGAAAATTCCGACCACATCGGCCATATTATAGTTCAGTTGAGTCATTTACAAGTTTATTTTGACCACACGCCGGTTTATTTGTAAAAATAGCAAGAATTTTATTTATCACTTAATCAGCAGAAAAGAAATTTTATATTTGCCCTCTTAAGATTGGTGATGGTTCTCATATATACTTTCAAAGGCTCGCTATTGGTGTTTTCAAATGGTCTCTAATTTATAAAACGAAAAAAGCTTCGGCATTGACGGCGTACAATTCTCCACGAAACTTGAGGGAATCAAGGGATTCTCCACACAATCCAAAAGCCTCAGGTACAGCTGGATGTCCGCTTAGACACCTATCATGATATTTGGCGTTTGGTTCTAATTTATTGACAACAAAGGATCCTTATTGCGAGTAATTTTAAGAACAATCAAGTGGTACTCCAATGTCTTCTCATGCAGTTGAATGATCGAGCACCGAGACATTTTAAAGATGGATTACGTCGATGCAAACCGGCCATTTATCAACGCAACAAAATCAAATAGAAATATCAATTCAAATTCAGAGGTTTGCTTACTGATATCAAATTTTAACAACAAAGGAGTTTCCAAAAGACGATGCATATCATAGTCAGCGTCATGGCGAATGAAGTTTAAAATAACATCAAAGTCTCTGTTGGCATTCCTTTCTACATCTTCAAGACACGACCCATATCAAGTATTTAAGCTTGTTTTGCGTGTACTCGACTGCTCGCTTTGCGTGTACTCGACTGCTCGCTTTGCATGTACTAGACTGCTCGTTTTCAAAAGTTCTTAGCAACCCACGAGGATAATAGCTGATCATCAAATGTGGCCAGCAATTAGCAAAGGTTTGAATGTGTGGATAATACATTTCAATTTGAGTAAATTTGGCACATTAAACTTTAATGGACATCTGATGGGTGGTAACCCAACCGGCCTTGGAGACAACCTTTTTTCTCTTTTCAAACGGGAATATACGATTGATGACTCAATTGTCTTGCAAGAAAGAAACCAAGTATACCATTTCAGATGAATATGCAAATGGATTTTGCCAACAAGCTGAGGAGAAAGAGCCTCTTCTAGCTTTTGCCATCCAATCTGTAGATCTAGAAGGCCAACTGATTGAGCGGGATCTTGCAATTAGGAATGTCCAGGCATCTTTGTTCCAAGTGGGGGATATTTATAGGGATCTTGGAGCACTAGTTGGTTCTCAACAAACCTGCATCGGTAATATGTGAATTTTCATACCATAGATAACATCGAGTCAAACGTAGAAGCAGCCACTGAGTTTACAACGCTTGCCAGAAAGCACCTAAACGGAGCTTCAGCTAGACCAAGAAGGTCTGCCGCTAGCTGCTGTGGAATGGTCCCTGTTCTGATTCTTGTTATTATTGTCTTGCTGATAATTATAATCCTTTTGGCGTAAAAATATCTTTATTCAACTCAAAATCACCAGTCCAGTCTCTTTCTATTGAAGGTAAAATGTTAGCGTTGAAAGTAAATGGTCGTGTATATTGCTTGATTTAAAATCGCATTCCAGTTGCAGCGTTTGGATTGGTTTACAGCAAGAGAGGCATATGAATTCAAAAGTAATCTGCAGCTCATTTTCAAGCCCGTTGGTTTGTATCAATGTGGTCTTTCTTGAGGTAAGGCCTGATATAATAAATTCATCGGGATTTTTTGCAAGGAGCGATACTTGCAACATGTAATCCTGTAGCTTGCTATCAACTTGTACCGCTATCTTTAATTGGGTAATTTCCTCAACAACGACGTATACAGGCCTTATCGTATCAACAAGTATGACATTATTGCAGTAAAATAAAATCTTTCCGTTGGCCATCGTTTGCAAAAGATTTTTTGGCATCTATGAGATTATTAAAACTGGCCATACGAATAAAGAAAATCGGTTTGAGCCGATATTAAGCACAAGGTGTGAAGCTATGTATTCCGTCAAGAATTGTTCAATCGAAACAAATGGAATGATCAAATATATAAAAGAACGTGCATTAGAATGTGGTTTCGATTGCCATGTTTTCTGCAGCAGTATAGAATTAAAAGAGAACGAATGATCGTCCGTGTTAAGCCAAAGCTTTGTATCAAATTCAATGGAAACCAAAAAATGAGTTTCCCTATTTACATAACAAGGCGGAGAGTATATCGTCACAAAGTGTTGGGAAGCCGATACCTCGCATAAGTATAGGTCCAAAGCGGTAATCTCTTTGATAATGAATCTTCCGTCAACTATGAAATCACAAACCAATTCGGCCTTTTCATCGGTCGCTTCACAAGAGATTAACAGCGATATTCTATATCTACAAATAAAGTGGCTCATAAATGTGGAAATACTTGTAATCTGCCAAAAATAGCCTATTATCGTCCAATAATTTCGATGGCGACAACGTTAATAGCGAAATGATATCAGAAGACGAAATTTCATTTTTATCTAAAACAAGAGCCTCCCTTTCGGAAGTACAAGAACCATCTGGAGATACAATGCAAAGATAAGCGAATAGCTTAAAAAGACAAAGCTGCAGCCTTTTGATTATTGAGATTCGCAACAAGATAGCTAAGGAACTGGCGTCATCGTGGGAAATGAGAGGTGGCTCGATGGCACTTGTATTTGAGCTTCTCGCCTGCGAAAAATGGGAAGCAAATTTGTCGTTCAAATACAACGAGGCCTCCGCGTTAAACGAAGAAATAGTCAGTTTTTGACTTATCGCTTCAATTAACTCAATGTGCTCCCCTTTGGTGGTTGTCAAGCTAAGGAGGATAAACCCAATTTTGTTACCCGGAAAAGGGACTGCAATACCACTTGAAGGTAAATCCGAACAAATCGAGTTTGATTCCGTGTATAAATAGCGGATTGTTTTGAGACAAAATAGAAGCCTTTATCCGTAAAAGATAATTTTTCGTTTCCTTTGGAATTGGCGGCACAGGTTCGGAATGTTCATATGACAAAATGTCACCGGTAGTACTAAGCAAATAAATCAAAGCTAACACTACATTGGAAAGATATTTTCCACCAAAATGTCAATAGAAAGGGGATTATCGACGTTAACATTGATATAAAACCACTCGTCGCCAGATGAAAGTTTGTTCTAAAAAGTAAGATGCAAAGCTAACAATAAGCATCAGATATCTCCTGTTAATGTCAAATGGGTTGTATAGGAAAACATCGTCCGATCTTTCGATGTTGGAGGCATAAAACTCCTCATCAAAGGACTACGAATTATAAAACAGGGTTACCAAAGAATTAACTCTGATCACACATAGCTTTTCAGAAACCTCAGGGCTTACAGAAATACACGGACATGATGGCAGCTTCAAGATGGATATTATTTTTTCCTGCTCTGGCCCGCTTAGCAAGTTGCACCATCTTTTTAGAAAAAGACATAATTCTTGTCGATCGATCTTTGTGAGATCCTGTGACAAGAATATTTTGACGTACGAATTGTTTAAACATTCCCAGCCCGCTTCTGCCAATTAATAAAACCACGCCGTACTTTGATTTGACTTTAAATCGTCCAAAGGAGGATGTGACAAAAGCTTGAGGCTACAAATCGACGCCAATCTTTTGCACTCGTATGACCGAGCCAAATCAAGAAGAAAACTGGCCAATTCCTATCGAATAGAACACTGCTTTTTTACCTTATGAGATTTGGTATTGGACTCAAAATCTTGTGATTTGCAATTGCCAATCTCTGTTTGGGTCCTTTGAGGAACCGCTGAATGATTGAAATCCAAAATCGTAAGCTCTTTGGTTGGACAACAAAGCAGAAAAACAGCTCCTTCCAAGTGATTCATAAAATAGTCCTGGTAGTTCATAAACGAGGAAATAAACTCAATTTTCATTGTAAGCGCCATCCAATGTTCAATTGCTTTCAGATTTATGTACTTTTTAGCAATTTCTTGAAAAGAAGCCATGCTCGACTTTAGTAGCGATTCCTTTTCATAGTAGGCGTTAACATCCTCAAAAAACAGCTATACGTCAATGAGACAATATCCTACATGTGCATAAATATTAGCCAACAAAATACTCTCTTCAGAAATCACTTTAAGAAGAGCATCTTCTGACGTCGGATACTTTATAAGATCTATTTTTCCAATGGCCTTTTCGTAATTTTCTAATGAAGAAGAGGGCGAACCAACCAAAAAAAACAGCGAGGCAATTTTGTAATAAATTGTTGCCAATTGGATATTATCGTTTCTTTGAGCCAAAGAGGGAACAAACCCCAAATTGAAAGTAGAGAGTTCAGAAGAGGCTATGGGCTTTGTTTCAACCTTCTTTTTTAGCTGATGGAGCTCATTTATGAGCTTATAACAATAATAGAGGGTCTCCGAACCCAGCACCGATAAAATCTCAAAAGACGCGTCAAAAATAACGAACGGAATTCCTTCGTAAAGTTCGAGGTGTTGAATAAATTCCGCAGTGTGTCGAAGTTCCTCTGGGCAAAACAAGATGCACTTTTTGACCGGAATAAAGGAGATCTTCAATTCAGCAATGGGAGGGGTTACCTTTTCGACAATTTCCAAGTATTTACTTGCAATCAAATCAATAGAGGATTCATGGAGGCAGTGGAAAACCACCACAATCTTAATGTAAAATAAAATAAGATCAATACACCAAACGCATGGTTGTGGAGTCTGCAACTTGTGTTTTGGGGGAGCGCCGAAAGATCACTGATGCTTAAAAGATCAAATAAAAGAGCAGTATCTTTTTTCAGCGATGGTTCTGGGTTTAATAAAGAAGAATTTACTGTATACAAAAGCATCGGATTCCGATTCTAAATGCTGCAATGCCGAAAATGGCACAACATAGGGCGATTTAAATTTCAGTTCAAGTAGTTCGTCGCTTTCTTTATCAGGATAATAAAAAAATACTTTGAGCCTAGCTGAAGTCGACAGAGGCGAAGAAATAAACCGATGGGACAAGTCTTCAAACTCCATACACAGGAATTTCCCAAATTAGTCAAAAAGCTAACCCTAAAGAAACTTTTATTTGCCAATGCAATCCTTCTACGATGAATTCCAGGCATTGTTAATCGAGTTTTCGAATGCACTAAGATGTTCAATATGGTTGGTTTTCTCTTTAAATTTTAGTAACCAGCTATATACTCGCCCAACTACGGTGACCGAATGTGGCCATAGATTTTGTGGCGATTGCATCAAGGAGAATTTAGGGGTCAATTGCTTGTGCCCTTATTGTGGCCAACCTGCTCGCGGTAAAAACCTACGAATTTCTCCCCTTCATTCGAATCTAGTTAATTGGACTAGAGCCATGTTAACTAGCTTGGAAAAATTTGCATCTTCCAACGACATTTCTTTTCCAAGGCCTGCGCCTGAAACTCCCGTACTGAGCTACTCTCAAGCGGCTAGTATTGATGGCGTAAATGATTCTTTTGATTCAAACACAAGCTTTGAGACGGAAAAGGCTCCGTTTGACTCTGATTCAAAGTCGCCAATTAAAAGCCGCAGTTTTAAAAGGGTCAGTTTTCCAAATACCTCCAACATAAAATCCCATCGAGGCGGTTCTGTGATTTCTCCAAAAGCATCTGACAAGATAAAAGCTGCCAACTTATCAGCGGGAAGTAAATCGGAAACTTTTTCGTTGATGGATCTTATCTCTAGTGGGACTGTTCCCATTGGGTCGGTAGCATATTGCTTTGATTGCACGGCAAAGATAACGTCAAGTGGAAGTCTCATTGACGAAATTGATTTACAAGAGTACTTTGATCCCTCAGATTGGGCAACATACGTTGTTCGGTGTGTAGAAAACCGACGCTTGTCGCGTCAAGATGGCCTAAAGGCCATTAAAGTGGGCGGAAAGACATTGGAGGAGTTGTATTCTTCGGTTTTTGTACAGCAAAGCACAACTAGAAACGATCCTGTTCTCAAACAAGATACGAATGTTTTTAGCTTGGCAGAACAAAGTCCACAAAGGATTGTCAAGCTTTCCACGTCAAGCCTATCTCGTGATCAGTCAAAATTTTTGGAATTACATTCAAGAAATCACCTTCAATATTCGCTCAATTTATCACCAGATCCTGATATCTCGGGAAGTACATATCTCGTGGTTGATACGGACTCGAATCAACGATGCCGTCGGACTCTAAAATATCTATTTGCTTGCATGCTAAAGATTCCCGTGGTATCCTTTCAATGTATGATTGCCTCAATTAATCACTAGGGATCTTGACTTCAGTTAATGAAAGGCGGTGGAAAGATATAACCAATTATCGTGTCACACAAGACTTTCAAGGCCGTACGTTCAATGTAAATTGCCGTGACATGCTTTTTTCTGGTTTAACGGTCGCCTTTGGTGATAATACCTCAAAGCCAGAATGCAGTCTCATTTCTAATGAGATAACGACAAAGTTTGTAAAGTACGGGGGTGGAAAGATTTTCAGCGAAGAACCGCGAAAGTTCATCTCGCTGGGTCGTATCGATCCATCTTTTTTGTTTGATGCAATCGTTCCGGATGCGTTACTATTGGTGATTGATACCAGCCCAAAGTTTACTTTCTCAAGCATTAAAGTTCCAAAAGTCGATTTTCAAGCGTCTAAATTCAAGGGATACACGATTAGATCTTCGGCCTGGTTTCTTGACTGCATCTCTCAAAATACATTGGCACACGTTGACCCTTTCAGCTTAACGAAAAATTCATAATCATTGGGAAGTGAAAATTTTATTGGAGCCCATTTTGATCGGGGATACTTTCAAGATGATGCTGATGACAATGGCATGCCGAAACCGTACAGGTAAAACAAGACGGCTACTATTGATACAAATATTGCCACAACTAGGGGAATCACATATTTTTTGCTGGCCTCCCAGGCCTCTTGATTACTTTTCAATCTCCTCCGCCTTTCTTCTCTTGATTCTGATGGCTCGTTTTTCTGTGTAGCATTTATACGCTTTCTTGACATAAATGAATTAAATAAAACGGGGTATTGTTTACTTTTTAGTGTTTAAATGGTTGATTAAAATCAAATTTAGGAACGGGTGTGTACACGGCCGTGCTAATTTAAGTATATAAGCAATCTTTTTTCAGAGTCCGTTATCATAGCATAGACTATGAATCCTTACAATGAAAGTGATGATAAAACAGACCTGTACTGAATCCACCAAATATTGATGTATAGAGCTATCTGATTCATTAGAACAGCCAATACTGTAAATTAGATAAAACTATACATTAACAAAGTACTTAAAATGGCGTAAAGCGTCCACCCTTAATGGCGTAAAGTAGGTCGCACCCGTGTAGAGAAAATCAGCGCCGTCACATAGGACGGCGTAACACATTTCAATACAGACTTTGAGCGCTAGCACATAAGAGTATATATTTATTGCTTAAGAGGAGATATTGCGCTTTAAATGCTTCTCAATTTTGGATTTAATCCATTCCTTATCCTTGGGGCTGTACGAGCTGGACGGACCATTATAGCTAGGAGAAATGTACAAAAGATTGGCTTACACTAAAGCACACATATCCGGTAGCACATCAATGTAGTTTTTCAGATCGTCAAGATTGTAGGTGATGTTCAATACGCTTGGATTCAATTCCTTCAGTCTTCTCTCATACATTCGAATGATTTCTACAGCTAAGCTACACATCCTACCTTCTATTGCATCTGGGATGCTTTCAAAATCAGAATATGACCTCGATGACTTGTCTTTGGACTTTTGGAATAAAATTATGGTATGCTGATTCTATAAATTATGGGTAGCAATAGAGCATGTGTACCATTGAATTAAAAAAGCCGAATTTAACCCTAAAATTTATTTTCACCAATTATCGGGCGCCAATGGACGAATTAGATGCTTGTGGCCTTTCCAGTACAAACCTTGCCGGAACGATTCTCCATGGAATCTGACCGTCGATTTCGTCATTCTCAAATTGCAATTGATATTCAAAAATTTTCTTCTTTTTGGACGGCACGGCGACCACAGTACCATTATAAAGACAGGTTGTATTTGGGAACAAGCCAATTACTTGATCTCCAATCTGGAACATTTTCTTTTTCATTGCAGAATCATCGTCGTGGCATATCATCAGCAGTTGGAATGGTTTTGCCGGGTATTTTAACCGCTTCGAAAGATCGCCAGAATGGTCGTCATCCTCCGATACGTCTTCAATAATATATCTAAGGCTATATGCAAGGGACATACGTATTTGATGCTGGATCGTAGGACAATACGTTTGCAAGCATCCACTCTTTATCTGCAACTTCTGGCCTAGAAAATGCAACCTGTGCAAAGAAAGACGGAAAAAAGTTACCAATGACCTAATCTGAATAGCTGATGTCGGTGCGGACTCATTAATTGCCACCGTCTGTTTGGCAATTGGTACGCCAAGCGGCGGAATACTTGACGGCTCGTTAAGATGGAGCGTGTTTGGAGGAGATTTCGATATCGCACTAATGCAGTTTTGAATCAGCCTACAATTAAAAACATCAGCTACATTAGCTCTTTTTCGGCCAAAGCGATGCAGTTGGAAATGGCCTCCGGAGACGGCGAATTACCTCCTAAAAATAAAACAACACAGACATATTACTCATAGAATAAACGTAATCTGCATGTGAGCTTGTAAGTTCGTTATTGTGGAGGGCAAAGATATTCTTGAGGCTAGAATAAATTTGCTCTGCATCTTTGGACATATCTAAAAAAATTCCGTATCGGGGAATCGAACCCCGGCCGTCACGGTGAGAGCGTGAAATCCTAGCCACTAGACCAATACGGATTACGTGATCAGCTACATAGATTAAACTATAATAATTATTAAAAATTGAAAATGGGCACATGCAGCAATTCAAAAAGGTAGCCCCCAAGTGCTAAATTGTGAAGAAACGAGCGAGGTCAAGCCTTAGTACAACTTCACCTTCACTTTTGAGTTTATGTTTTACAGTAACCCAAATCACAAATCCTTTAACATATGTTAAACTACAGATCCTGTATCCCATGCATAAATTACATAGTGTGACAATTGTTATGGTACTTGATATATATATCAGCCTGATCGCTCTATTATGATGTGAATACGTTAAATATTATCGCCATTTCCAGTTCCATTCGACCCCCATCCGCTACGTATTTAACTAGTTTGAATTGTTGTTAAAAATCTAGGCCCGGTATCTGTCAGTTTAAGCTAAACTTTACTTCACTGTCACCTGCAGGCCATAAAAAATGTTGCAACGAGTGCCTCAAAATTTAAATTCTAATGTGCACAATTAGTAAATCTTTATTTTGATGATGTCTACTCAATATAATGATCCTCCTATGGTAAGATTGCCCAGTTCTTTTTCTAGTATGATAACTTTCAGTCCCCATATGGATATCATGATCCTAGCAAGGCACCGGCATCAAACCAAGCCAGCCCTCCGAATATAACTCCACCTAATTCAAATATAGCTTCCTTTCCGGCTCAAAACTATCACCAAGCTGCTTATCAACAGCCTACGTCTGTTGCCTATTTTACGCCAAACCAACAGCAAACTTACAAACAGCAGTCTTATCAACAGCAGCCTTACCAACCGAATTCATATCAACCGCAGCCTTCTCAACAAAATGACTCACATTTACATTCAGCTCCACATGTTACTCCATCGGGATCTGAGATGAATTACCCACAACAGCAAACACAAAAGCTTGACCAGAGGCAGATTCCAAATCCTGTATCTGTTCGTTCGCAAGACCAGGAATTATTCTATTCAACTGGATATTTTACCTCTAGCACCCAACCAATCCCACTTTCCTCCACAGACTGTGTCTATATTGACGATTGCGGTATATTGTGATTTTTATTTCAAGGAATTTCAACCCCATCTTTTATCAGACCAACAATTAAAGATATACCTACATCTGAGGATATATTAAAAAGCTCTTCGCTCTCTATTGGCCTTGTGATTCAACCCTTTTCCCTATTGAGCAAAAACGAAGTATTTGCCACCTTTAATTCAATTATTAGGCTGCGGTTCCATTGATAGAGTCTGGTCCCAAAGGCCCCATAAGATGTGATGGCTGCAGGGCTTATATGAACCCATTCATGAAATTTATTGACCATGGTCGCAAATTCAAATGCAATCTTTGCCAGTTTGATAGCATTGTTCCGGATGAGTATTTCTGTAATCTTGATGCAACGGGGAAGCGCTGTGATATTTCCTCCAGGCCTGAGCTTCATTTAGGCACCATAGATATGACCGTCACTCAAGTGACTGATGTTTTTGATTTTTTAGGACTATTGCAATCGAACGCTATCAAGACCCAAGATACTATTTCTCATTGATGTCAGTCTTTCATCAATTCAATGTGGTCTCGCTCAGACTGCTATAAATTCTATTTCCTATTACATCCAATGCATTTTGAGTATGGATGGCTCATTTACCAGGAGTCCAATTGGAATCATGGCTTATGACAAGGACATCCATTTTTATATTTGCAAGGTATTTTTGGCGCACTTGCATATAGGATACTGAATCTGGTGCAAAATCTATCGAGCTGATCTCTCTATCTGATTTGGAAGACCCATTTTTGCCTGTTAATTCAGAATCTATTTTCTCTTTTGATTCAAATGACGACTTGAAACTGTATCCGACCAAACGCTTAATCCTATAGACTTTTAGATATGATGTCGGGGCTCATCAATAATCATTCTCAGCAGCCTTTCCAATATAGTGCCTTTGGAACGGCCCTTTTTGTCGCCAACATGGCCATGGTATTATTATTGCTGCTCTTTCTGTAGGAATCAACTGGAGGAAGGATATTTGCCTTTCAAAACAATCAACCTAATCATGGCCCTGGCCAAATCGGGGTTCGCGCAGACCAAACCCACTCCATGTCGCCAACAGACAAAGAAAAGGCGTTATTTATGCCTCAAAATAATTTTTACCAAACGCTTGCAGATAAAATGTCATCATCTGGAATATCTGTTGACCTGATAATCTGCCCAACCCTGCCTTTTATTGATTTGGTGACGATCGGTAAGAATTTCAATTGATCAGATCTCAGGATCCATTTCTTCTATTACGGGAGGAAAAATTTACTCCTTCTTCAACTTTTCTCCAGAACGGGATTCCTACAATATCACGAGAATGTTGCAGTGGTCCCTCTATGCTCCTTGGATGTTTGATGTAGTTACAAGGGTCAGAGTTGGAAACGGTACATCGCTTTGTTTTTTAACGATCACAGGGCTTACCCTCTCTGACTTTTATGGAAATTTTAACATGAAAAATGCAACGGATATTGAGATTTCTAGAGCCGATCACAATTCCTCCCTTTTGGTGACTTTAAAATATGAGGGCAAGCTCAAAGAAAATGAAACAATTTATATTCAAGTTGCAACGCTATACACAACCCAATGTGGAGATCGACGGATTCGCTTGATCAACTACTGCCTTAGTACGACCTCAAAGGTTCCCCAGATATTTAAAAATGCTGATCTGGATGCTTATATTGCATTGTTTATGAGGATTGGTACGATGGCCCATTTTATGGCATCTTAGGGTTAAGACAAGTTTCGCTTTCTGGCTTTTCGCAACTTCGACACAACTTCCTTGAACATTTGGCCTCAATACTTGCGGCATATAGAAAATTGTGTTCTAGCCAAGCTGCCATGGGCCAGGTGCGGCCCGAATTTTTAATCTATCTTTAGCTGATCCTTCCTGAGGGATTAAAGCTGCTGCCAATCTATGCTTTGAGTATTCTAAAGAGCAAAGTCTTTAGAGATAGTTCGGATGTTCTAGTTGACCAGCGGGCTTTTCACATCAGAGGGTGTAATAGAATGAGCTGCGTTGAGCTGATTTCTTTTCTGTATCCAAATATGTATCACCTTAATATTTCTGAAAATAACGTACCCGTTGTTTCCTAAAACTTGGCTAGGTTTCGATTGTGCCGCAACCATTGTCCTATATGAATTTGGATCTTTGCTCCGTATACCTGCTTGGTATGGCACTTTATTCTTACTGTTAGACAATGGATTCGAAATCATTTGCTGGATACAGAA